ACCATGGCAACCATTATGCATTCTCATTGTGACATCCCTTAACATGGCAACCATTATCCATTCTCACTGTGACATAAGTTTCCATGGCAACCATTAGGCATTCTCATTCTTAAAAGCAGTTACCATGGCAACCATTATGCATTCCCATTGTTTTGTCACTTACCATGAAACTTCTTATGTATTCTCATTGTTACAGTCGGTTACCATGGCAACCATTATGCAGTCTGATTGATACCTCGGTTACCATGGTAACCATTCTGCAGTCCCATTGATACCTTGGTTACCATGGCAATCATTATGCATTCATATTGTTATGTTGGTTTCCATGGCAACCACTGAGCTTTTACATTACTCAGGTCGGTTAATACAGCAACAATTATGCATTCTGATTGTGAAGTTGGTTACCATGGCAACTGTCACATTATCCCATTGCTACAGTCAGTTACTACGGAAACCATTATGCATTCCATTTGCTATGGACGGTTATCATGGCAATCATCATACATTCCTATCACTAGGGTTGGGTACCATGGTAACTATTACGCATTCCCTGTTACGTCACTTACCATGGCAACCATCTGTAACACACAGATAATACAGAAATGCCAAAAATTGTTTCTGTCTCTCAAAGTCTTCCTATCAAACATTCTCTGTCAGCTCTCTGACAGAAGTTCCCACCATGACTTCCCACGGCACTTTTCCTGCCAAAAGATCCTGTTATTGTTTATGACTATCATATCTCTTCCAATATCTCAACTGGCTACGTGCCAAGAAACCACGTTCAACCTCCTTTGAACACTATAAAATTTGAGGACAAATTTTGGAAAATCAGGGAGAGGAAAGGGACAAGAACTGGTGACTGTAGCCGAGAATCTCTGCCCACCTCCCCTCACGTTTTCTCCACCACCGCGTGCTGCCTGCCTGCCACCAGAGACTGGAACTGCCGGCCTGGAGAGAGCTGAGACCACCGTGCCACATGTGGGAGTTCTACCTTATCCTTCTACCCTGACCATATTTCTGAGGGCCCAAAGCTTTGGAAGAGCTGAGACCCTGCACGGCCTGGGACAGGGGCGTGAGCGGTGAGACCACACATGGTGCATTGCAGAGAACTAAAGCTGTCAGACCCCCTGCAGCTACAGAGACAACATCCAAAAGCTGCAGAGACAGAGAAAAAAAGGGGCAGAAACTGCTACTCACCCACACACACAGACCAGCTCAGGGGAAAGGTAGCATGGTGGTATCTTCTCTCTGCTTTCAGAAGTAATCGTAAGAGTTTTCCAACCTTTTCTTATTTTTTCCTCGTTCTTTTTGCACCTCTTAGCAATTAATAAAATCAAGTTTTGGTATCAACAGAAAACTTGTGTGAGTTTTAATTTTGCTCAAGGGAATATTCGAATCTGAAGCTCCACCTGCAATATTAAGGCAGACTATAACGAGGGACCATGGAAAAGTGGGAGGAACAGGGAGAAAGGTGGAAAATGGGGGGGTGGTCTGTTGGATCCGGCGGTCCCATGGGGGTCTTTGGGTACAAGGAGGCTGGAAAAGGGGGGTGGCCCCCCCTGAGCTCCCAACTGACTGTGGGGTGCTGGATCCAATCTCAACCTTAGGTTATGCCAACAGGTTCAGTTTAGAGGAATTACAGAGGTGGGACTGAACAACTTTTGTCCCCCAGGTTTTAATGAAGGCAAATCAGATCTATTGATAGAAATTAATTATTTAGGGTAACAAATGATCAGACAAAAGATCTTCATCAGAATTATTTACTGCACAATAGAAACACTAAAACTACCAGTAGTACAGCATAAGATAGAACAGTGCTCTACACTGAAGCAATTGTTGAAGCAATTCTACTCAAGCTGGCACCAAAGCAAGAATTATTCATTAGAGATGGATGAAACTCCCTCAGACCAACGCTCGTGGGGAGATCTCTGCTCTCAACCTCCAGCAGTGACCTTGGGGGGTCCCAGCCAAGGCAGGAATCTCCACACACCCCCCAGGAAGGGTTCTGTTGACACAACCTGCCCCTGGCAAAGGGCACCGGTCCTTTCTGGTAGAAAGGGATGGACTGACAGTCACTGGACTCCAGGGGTTGCCTCACCATCAGGGGGGTCATCTGGGGTGGGAGCAGCGGCCAAAGTTCTTCCCGCAGTCGGGGCACTCGAGGGGCTTCCCTTACTGGTGTGTCCGCTGGTGATAGGTCAAGCCAGAGCTCCAGATGAAGCTCTTCCCACATTCCCCACACTTGTAGGGCCTCTCCCCGGTGTGGATGCGCCGGTGCCTGACGAGGGTGGAGTTCTGGTTGAAGCCCTTCCCGCAGTCGGTGCAGCGGAAGGGCCTCTCCCCTGTGTGTGCCTGCTCATGCAGGAGGAGATGTGAGCTGCTCTGAAACCTCTTCCCACATTGCAAGCACTTGTAGGGCCGTTCTCCAGTGTGGATGCGCCAGTGGTTGATCAGGTGGGAGCATTGCCTGAAGCTCTTCCCACATTCCCCACACGTGTAGGGCCGTTCCCCAGTGTGGATGCGCTGGTGTTGGATCAGGTTGGAGCTGTCCCTGAAGCTCTTCCCACATTCCAAGCACCTGTAGGGCCGTTCCCCGGTGTGGATGAGCTGGTGTCGGATCAGGTGGGAGCTGTTCCTGAAGCTCTTCCCACATTCCCCACACGTGTAGGGCCATTCCCCACTGTGGATGTGCTGGTGTTGGATCAGGTTGGAGTTGCTCCTGAAGCTCTTCCCACATTCCCTACATGTGTAGGGCCATTCCCCAGTGTGGATGTGCTGGTGCCTGAGGAGGTGGGAGCTCTGCCTGAAGCTCTTCCCACATTCCAGGCACCTGAACGGTTTCTCCCTGCTGGGAGGCTGCTCAGGGACCACCAGCTCGGAGCTCCGGTTCAAGCTCCGGCCGCCTTCCCGGCACAGGACGGGTCTTTCCTCCTCAGAGCTCCCTGGGCTGGCTTTGCAGTCCCTCCTCCGGGGGTATCTCCGGGCCTTTTCCTCCCTGCTGCCTTTCTGTGCCGGGGAGCCCTTCAAAACGGCCTCTCCGACCAGGCTCTGCCGGGGGGATTTGTCCTCCGTGCTCTCCATCCTCAGCTCGGGGCCTGGGGCAGGAAGGAAGGACAGGCAGGGGATTTGCCTCCGGCCCAGAGGGAAGGCCAAGCACATCCCCCCCAAATTTGGCCCCCACGGGCACCACAAGACAGGGCCAAAGGGGCACTGACTTCCTCCTCACCTGCCTGGGGGGCCCGCGGCTTTTTCCTCTTCCTTGCAACCTCCTCCTCCATCTGCCCAAGCTTTGGGAAGGACAAATCCTGTGGGGGGGAAACAAGGGCTGAGTGCCTTGCCTTGGGGGTTCCTCCTGCCCAAGTCAATCTCTAGAACTCACCAGGCATCCTGGGACCATAAAAACCTCCAAAACACTAATATTCAGCCCAAAAATCCCCAGCCAGGAGTTCCTCCTCTCTGGTCTCTCCACTTTGGGATTCTGGAGGTCCCCCCTGTTCGGGCTGCTGGGAGTCCCCTGTGTATTTGGGGTCTCCCATCTACGGGGTCTCTGCCCTCTCCAGGCTGCTGGAGCTCCCAGCAGTCCAAGACTCCCCATCTCCCAAATTCAGGGTTCTGGGGGACCTCCAAAACATCACGATTCAGCTTAGAAAAACTGAAACCACCAACATGCAGGCAAAAAAACTCCTCAGAAATAGCAAGAAGACCCCTGCCCCCAAACTGCAAAAGTTGAGATTCAGCTGAAATATACTCCAAATTATGAAGATTAGCCCAAAAAATCTCTCCCACAAGTTCCCCCTCTCTGGGTTTCAGAGGGTCTCCCCTGTCTGGGATGTTGGGGGTCCCACTTAGGGATGTTGGGAGTGTTGGGGGTCCCAAGGGTCCTTTCTCCACTGACTCTCACCTTCGGGGTGCCGCCTTCCCACACATTCCCCCTCTCCAGGTTCTCCACCTTGTTGTCCCAGGGATCCCAGGGGTCCCCTCTCTCCAGGCTTCCCCGTCTCCGCTCCCCCCATTTCAGGCTCCCGGGGGTCCCAGGGCTCCTCCCTCTCTGTGTTCCCCCCTCCAGCCTGCCGGGGATCCCCCAGCTCCGGCATCGCCCGCTCCGCCCTCCACCCTGGGCAGCTCCCAGGGGGACCCCAAACCTGCTGTATCTGCCCAGCCAGCCCCGGGCTGACAGTGGCCCTGACCCTGTCCCTGCTCCTCCCTGCAGGCTCCATGGCCGTGCACACTTTGTGTTCCTGGGGGCCACCAGCTCAGCAGCTGCAGCCGCTCTAATCAGCGCCCGCAGCTCTGCAGCAAAGCCCCAGCTCACCTGGCACACAGGGCATGCACACAGCACCTTCTCGCTGCTGGGCACTCCCAGATCAGCCTCTTCCCCAGCACGGGGCTCTCCTGCCTCAGCACCACCTCTGCCTTCCACTTCTTCTCAGGGCCACCTCAGGGCCAGCTCTGGGCTCACCTCCGGGCCATTGCTCAGGGCCACCTCAGGGCCTGCTCTCCAGGACAGGAACCTGCAGGGAGGGCAGATGATGTGCAAGCCCAGGGGGGCCTGCTTGCACTGGCCTGGGGGCTTCTTTCTCCTTCCACAACCACCCCACAACTTCTCCTGCTTTTCTAGCCCCACATCTTTGCAGACTGACCTTGTCTCTCTGTCTGCACAGACACATCTATCCCCTGTGGACAGAGCCTCCAGCATGTGCTGCCCTGGCAATGGCACCCAGAGAATCCCAGAATCAGCCGGCTTGGAAAAGACCTCCCAGATCATCAAGTGCACCCCTTGATCCAACCCCGCCGTGGTTCCCAGACCGTGGCACGGATGCCCAGGGGAGGGGCTTTGGGAATGAGGGCTCTCCCAATACAGCCCAGTGAACCCCTCAGTGCCCTCCCAGTACAGCCCAGTGTGTTCCTGTCCCAGGGTGCCAGGTGATCCCTCTTTGTGGGGGGTTTGATTGGGATTTGAAGCATTTTGGGGGCCTCTGAGTGCATTTGGGGGAGTTAAAAGGGGTCTTGGGAGCATTGGGGGTAAAGGGATCTGGGGGAGGTGATTAAAGGAAAAATGGGGGTTAGGGGACATTTGGGGGGCCTTATTGGGGCCTGGGGGGACAGGAGGGCAGCACCACGAGCAGGTGAGTCCTGAGACCCCTCTGGTGTCCCCAAGACCCTCCTGCTGTCCTCAATTTCCCACTTTGCACCCCGAGACCTCCCCTGGTGTCTCCAATGTCCCCAGGGCCTCCCCATGGACCCAATTACCCCCTTGACACCCTCCATTCCACTGTCCCCAAACCCCTCCCCACTGTCCCCAAAACCCATCCCTGATGTCCCCAACCCTCCATCTTCCCCCCAGAAGGCCCCCCTGGACCCTCTGACCCCCAAAATGGCCCCATCCCCCCAAACTCACAGAAAGGTCAAGGGAATCTGGGGACACACTGGGGACACTTGGGGGGCTTTGGGGGGACACCGAGTGACTACTGGGGGATACTGGGACACACTGGGGGAAGCAGAGGGCACTGGGAGGGACTGGGGGGTTATTGAGCGATGCTGGGAGGGCACTGGGAGGGACTGGGTGATTACTAGGGGATTACCAGGACACACGGGGGGACACTGGGAGGTTACTGGGCCTTACTAGGTGTTACTGGGTGCTCACTGGAGGATCATTGGGCCATACTAGGGGGCAATGGGGGTCACTGGGAAACACTGGGTGGTCACTGGGGGGTTACTGGGCCATACTGAGAGCCACTGGGAGGTCACTGGGCTATACGGGGGGCACTGGGATACCCTTACCTGCACGTGGTTCATGTCCTCCCAAGACTTTTGGTGGCACTGCCAGGACCCCTCCCCTGAGAGCTGGGAGACCCCTTGAACCCCACTGCTGGGCTTTATGGGACCACCTGGATCCCCTCCCTGTGGGGTCTCTGTGTGCTGAGTTTTGGGGGTCTCTGGCGTTCGGGGGGGGCATCAGGACCCGCTTTCCCTGCGGTCGGTCCGCCCAGCCGGCAGGGGGCGCTGTGGCACGAGCGGCAATGGCGGCGCCGCGCGAGGCCTGTTGGGAGTTAGAGTTCCCTTGTGGAAACTCCGCCGGCGCCTGCGCAGTGCAGCCATGGCGTTTAAACAGCCCCCCCAGGAGGGTTCCGAGGCCCCCAGCCCTTTCAGGGACCCCCTAAACCCCTTCAGGCGCCTTCACCCTCCCCTCTGAGCGCCCTCAGGACACCAAATCCCCTCCGAGAGCCCCTCACGGACCTCAAAACCTCCTCGGGAACCCCCGAGCCCCTCCTCTCCACTCTGCCGAGCCCTCCAGCCTTCCCGCCCACAGCCGCGCTCCCCGCAGCCCCCGAGCGCATCCCCAGCCCCGCCGCAGCCCCCGCCAGGGCTCACAAAGTCGGAGCAGATCCCGCTGTCGCCGCCATCGCTTTCCCGGCAGCCACCGCGGGGCTGTGCGCGCGCACCGCCGGCAGAGACCCCGCCCCGCCCCCTTTTCCGCGCGGGGCACGCCGGGAGTTGTAGTTGCAGCGGCTCAAAGCTCCAAACTCCCCCAGACTCAATTCCCCACGGGCGTTCCTGGGGCAGAGCGGGGCAGAACCGGGGCGGGGACGGGACGGGCATTGGGTGGAAATCATTATAAAAACTGTAACCCCTGCGTTGGAAGGGATAGGTGTGGGTTTGTATTCCTGGAGCCTGGAGGCTCATGGAAACCTCTGCTGCTTGTCTGACCTCCTGCCCAGTTTGCCCTGGAGTCTTTTTCCTCTGCAGCCTTTTAGGTAACAACGTTTATGGCCTTTATGAGGAGAGCCTCTTATGAGGGGTATGGGCTTTCTGAGGACAGCACCTTTATGACCTGCATGGGCTTTATGCAGAGAGATCTTTTATGATGAGAGCTCTGTCATGAGGTGCATGAGGTGTATGAGGACAGTGCTTTTATGACATTTATGGTATTTATGAGGGCAGAACCTTTATGATGTGAAGAGCCCCTTCCGAGGTGCACAGGCTTTATGAGGACAGAGCCTTTAAGAGGTTTATGGCATTTATGAGAACATCTCCTTTGTGATGACAGCCCCATGAGGAGGTTTATGGGCCTTATGACGATAGGGGCCTTATGTGGTCTGCACTGTTATGAGATGTATGAGATTTATGAGGACAGAGCCTTTATGAGGCTGCCCAATTGTGAGGTGGATGCAGTTTATGAGGAGAGAGACTTTATGATGAGAGCATCTTATGAGATTTATGGGCTTATGAGTAGAGCACCATTATGACATGGAAGAGTGTTATGAAGACAGAGCTTTCATGATGTAAGCCCCATCATGAGGTTGTTTGGCTTTATGAGGACAGTGCCTTTATGGGGCCTGCACCATTATGAGGTTTATGGGTGTGATGGTTCAGACCTGACTCCCTGCCAAATGCCCGAAATCACAGTAGCAACCCCTTCCCCCTCCTTTCTTCCCTTAGGGAAAAGGAAAAAAAAATGTAAAAAATTGAAGAACCCCAAATCAAGCTAATTATATAAAAATATATATATTTACATATATTACAGTTATATACAATTAAGATGCTATGTACACAGCACAGGGAATCCAAACACCCCCTGAAGGGAAAGGGAAAGGGAAAAGGGGACAAAAGTGGACAAAAAGGGACACCAAACATATATAAACAATCAAACTCAAGAACTATCCTAATAACTAGCAAAACAAATCTCACCACGTCCCTTAGAAAAGCAGGATTGGCAGACACGGCCAGCACTCTCCAAACCTCCCACGTGGTAGGCCAGGGGTCACTGAAGGCCTCAGGCTCCAGATAAGCGAGACCAACGCAAGGACCCACTGCCCTGAACCTCGCTGGAAGAGAAGAGAAGAGGAGAGGACTCCAATCTAGAACTTATTTATATTCTGGTTTGCGTAAAAATTATATGAAATTTGGGGTACATGGCCACTTCCTTGGTTACAAACTGGTTACCAGGAAGGCCTAGACCAAAACTATCACAGGGAGGAATCTTCATTCTTATTACATTTTGGGACACAGACTGACAATTCCAGGACAGGGGCTCTGACACCAAACAAATGCATTTCCACCCAGGAAAGGAAGCCCTTACCCTCCATCTCTCCTGTGCAATTGGTGAGCCACTCTTGGCACTCCAGGCACAAAGAGACCTTCTTGTGCTGGCACCTTTTGTCTGGAATGATCTTCATTCTTCTTCCAATTTGGGATTCTGACTGACAGTTGCACTTCAGGGGTTCTGACACCAAACAAATGCATTTCCACCCAGGAAAGAAAGCCTGTAGTGGTTTTGAGTCTAGGCCTTCCTTGGTAACCAGGTTGTAACCAAGGAACCAAGGCCATGTTCCAAGTATTCCATACGATTCGTACATAAGCAAATGTATAAATAAGAAGGCAGAGGAAGCTCTTGCTCTCTTTCTTCTGGTTAACTGAAAGCGCAGGTTTTTCGCTCTCATTGTTCCTGGGTGAAGGAGTGAGGCCTCGTGTGCCTGGTTGGCCTTGAGAAGCAGAAAATGCTGGCAGTTTTTGGTGTGATTCTCTGCTAACTTAAGGAAAGTATTAGGGTAACGGTTCGGCTTTAGGGTTCAGATTCAGGTTTAGGATCAGGGTTAGGGTCAGGGTCATGGTTAGGGTTAGACTTAGGGTTCAGGCTTGGGTTAGGGTTGAAGTAAGGGCTAGGGTTACGGTTAGGGTTAGGGTGAAGGTTAGGGTTAGGGTTAGGGTTAGGGTTAGGGTTAGGGTTAGGGTTAGGGTAAGGGTTAGGGACTCTGACAATTCCTGCACAGGGGTTCTGACACCAAACAAATGCATTTCCATCCAGGAAAGAAAGCCCTTTCCCTCCATCTCTCCTGTGCAATTGGTGAGCCACTCTTGGCATTCCAGGCATAAAGAGATTTTCTCTTGCTGGCACCTTTTGTCTGGGAGGAATCTTCATTCTTAGTCCATTTTTGGACTTACACTTGCCATTTCAGCATAGGGGTCCTGACACCAAACAAATGCATTTCCACCCTGGAAAGGGAGCCCTTACCCTCCATCTCTCCTGTGCAATTTGTGAACCCCTCTCGGCACTCCATGCACACACAGAGCTTCCTGTGCTGGCACCTTTTTTCTGGGCGGAATCTTCATTCTTATTCCATTTGGGGGATCAGACTTGTGGAGTGCTTAGCTGAAAAAAGCATACTATGGATCAACCATACTAATTGGCCTAAGTTAAACCTGGCCCTGACAAAGCCAGAAACCTCTTTGCAGGCAGTAGAAAAATACAGGAGCAGTGATAACAGACTGCAGGAATGTAAACAAAGAGAAACCTGTGACAAAAATAAGGAGGAGTTTTAGGAGAAAAACAATGTCTTCCTATCGTATGGACATCTGTGTGCAGCCAATAGGAAGTGTGTCAGTAATGCACGCTCGGTTCATGGGTTACAGCAAATAACCAATAGTTTGAAAGTGATCATGCCCCAGGGGACAGTGAAAGTCTGTAAGAGGTTGGGTTATGTAAATAAAGCAGAACATTTGCGTAAATCATCCTGATTTGTGTGCATTTTTTTCTGAAAGCTCCTCCGCCAACATCCACGTTATATCACAGCTGTCCCTTTGTTGTCACCAGTCCCCTGTGATGTCACTTGTCCTCAGTGATGTCACCGATGTCCCTGTGATGTCACCAATAACCCTGTGACATCACGGCTGTCCCTTTGTGGTCACCAATCTCCTGTGACATCACTGGTCCCTGATGATGTCACTGCTGTCCCTGTGATGTCACCAGTGTCACTGATGATGTCATGGTGTCTCTGCGATGTCACCCCTGTCCTTATGAAGTCACTGATGTCCTCTGTGATGTCACTGATGTCCTGGGAAGATCAAGACAACCGCTTTGTTTTCACCAGTCTTCTG